ATTGCAAATGACAAGCAACTTGCTATGTTTGGTATTTTCTCAATGTGTTTATGAAAGTCAGCCATTTTGAATTAAAATAAACTTAAATTATTTTTATTCACATTGATTATTATATCTATATTATAAATAATAAATGTGGTCACATTATAGTTATTTTTAAAATAAAAAAACAAAATAAATATTTGTAAAATTTAAAAAAAAAAACGTAATTAATACTGTGAAGTGTTTGGACAGCCTACTGAAAACTCTTGTTTTTCTCTTACTGGAATTTCTGCAGCATCGTAGTAATTTCTGAGCATGCTCTATACATAAAATCATGAAGCTACTGAACAGGACACAAATATTTCTTGCGAAATCTATGAATAGTGCGACTTTTAAAACGTTGGGGGTGGCGAAACACCACACTGCACTAGCCCAGGGTTAATAAAAGTTTTACTTATCTGTCCATTTTTAAATAAAAACAATTTCTCATACGTTGTGAAATAATTTAATACGTTTTGTAAATTACTATGATCGATGGTTTTTCGTCTATAAAATTTATTCCGTGATTTTTTTAAGAGTAAAATGAATTTGCCATTGATTTTTCGTTTATAATTAATACTTGTTAACGTTATTTTTAATTTTATCGATATACAATTTTAAAAAATACAGTAGACCCCCGTATAATTACGGTCCCTGTAAATTACGATTCCTATGAAACTGCGAAAAAATTGCGACGTTATTCGTAAAAAAAAAATAAAAAACTCTTATAATTACATAAAACCTCATCGGGCAGCCAAACTACTTTCCCGCTGTTTGTATCACAACGCTACGGACACTTAGGCGACTAAATTGAGTTTAGTTTCGTCTGTACATATAATTATATATGAATTATATATAAATTAAATACTGTACATATAATTATATATTAATTATATATAAATTAGGTACTGTATATATAATTATATATTAACTTAATTTATTGTAACTTTATTATAATTATATATTTTTTTCCGCCACGTAGCGCCATGCTACAGAGATTTTACGCTAACTATCGTCTGTACAGCATATAAATTAGCTACCGTAAATTTAATACAGTACTGTAATTTTATACATTTCTTGTGAAAGAAACATTTCTTATTCAACGGCAATTAAAATTATTTATATTAATGATGTCTCCAAAGTTCAACGAAGTTTTCGCAGAAAAATAACATCAGAAATCGCGGCCGCGGTTTG